ACCTTCCGGTTGTTTCTCTGAGTAGGTACTTAGGTACCTAGGTATCTACTGTTTTTCTAAGTAGATACCTCAGAAAAACAAAAATCATTTTATTACAAAGACATTTGCACCAGAATGTTTACGGCAGCTCAATTCATAATTGTCAAGTTGTGGGAACAAAAATGCTTATCCACCCATGAATGGATTAAGAAACTGTGGCATATGTATGCTATGGAGTACTATTCAGCCATAAGAAAAGATGGTGACTTTACATCTTTTTGTTTACCTGAATGTAGTTGAAACATGTTCTTCTTAGTAAAGTATGTTAAGAATGGAAAAAAAACCCTAATGTGCTCAGTACTAATATGAAACCAATGTATAAATAACTACATGCCCACATGAATGATAAAACACAAATGTAGTTTATCAAGGGGGAGGGGAGAGATGGGGAGAAGGGATGACAATTGGTCGGATGTCACCTAGTGTGCACAATGTGAGGGAATTCAGCACACCCTCTGGGTGAAGGGCGCAACTAGAATTTGAACTTTACCTTAGAACTGAAAACAGTGTAACTTAAAAATTTGCACCCTCATATTAATTGGAAATAAGTAAAAGCTGATTGTCCTCTACAATGTAGGTGGGCTTCATCAAATCAGTAGAAGGCCTGAAGAGAACAAAAGGCTAAACCTACCCCGACTAAGAGGGGATTGTCCAGCAGACTGACTTTGGGCTTGAACAACAACTGCTGAGTCCTCATCCTCTCTCATCTGATTTTGGACTCATTCAGTATCCGCAATTATGTGAGCCAATTCCTTCAATCTCTTTGTATATATATTAGATATATGGATCTCTTTCTCTCCTACTGGATTATATATAGATACCCACACACGATCTCCTATTGGATATATACACATACATAGGGTCAAAAAATGTATACTCATTTTAGGAAAGGAAAAACTATTAAAACTATAATACTCAATTCACACATTATTGGTATATATAGAGTATAACAATTTTGGGGTTTTTTTTGAGACAGGGTCTCATTTTGTTGCCCTTGGTAGAGTGTCATGTACTCATAGCTCACAGCAACCTCAGACTCTGGGGCTCAAGTGACTCTCTTGCCTCAGTCTCCCAAGCAGCTGGGACTACAGGTGCCCACCACAACGTCTGGCAATTTTTAGAGACGAGGTCTTGCTCTGGCTCAGGCTAGTCTCAAACTCCTGAGCTAAAGCAATCCACCTGCCTCGGCCTCCCAGAGTGCTAGGATTACAGGCATGGGCCATTGCACCTGGCTTATTTGTACATTTCTTATCTGCCTAAATGAACAAAGTCACCCAGGACCTGACTGCTGGACTCAGGCTTAGAAAGAGTAAAGAAAAAGGGAATATAGCTTTGTGCAGTGGCAGTATTGTAGCGAGTGAGGTTTATTCAAGGCACAATTATTGCTAATTGAAAACTTTTCCCAACACCCCTCTATGATGACTTGCAATATAGTCAGCACTAATTTGACAGTCTCTACAGAGATTGAATAAAAAAAGAAAAGAAAAAGGGAATTTACCTTTTAGCGTTTTTCTTGTGCTCTTGGTCCCCCCCCCCCCCGCAGTCATACCCAGGAATCCAGTGTCTCTGAACATTTATCAGCCTCCCACCCAGCATAACCACTGCTGAGGTCCAGGGCCATGGTGGGAGTGAGTGGAGAAGAGATAGGGAGACCTTTGGTTTGTGCGTCCAGTGTCTGCCTCCTTAGGAATATACTGCATCTGCGTGGTCTCAGGTACTTGGAGGCTGAGGTGGGAGGATTGCTTGAACCCAGAAGCTGGAGGCTGTACTCCAGCCCAGCCTGGGTAACATATTGAGACCCTGACTTAAATAAACAAACAAAAAAGAACAAGACAACACCCCTCCCAAAAGCAAAATGCCCCATGATATCACCATTGTTAGCTGTTTTATTCTGTATTTCCTCCTCCTTTTTATTTCTGTTTAGGTATCAGCAAAGGTGGGTGGAAAGGGAGGTTTGAATAAAAAAGATTCTTCCAAGGCTCGGCACCTGTAGCTCAAGTGGTTAGGGCTCCAGCCACATACACAGGAGGTGGTGGGTTTGAGCCCAGCCTGGGCCTGCCAAACAGCAATGACAACTACAGCCAAAAAATAGCTGGGCATTGTGTGGGGCGCCTGTAGTCCCAGCTACTTGGGAGGCTGAGGCAGGATAATCTCTTAAGGCCAAAGAGTTTGAGGTTGCTGTGAGCTGTGACGCCATGGCACTCTACCAAGGGTGACATAGTGAGCTGTGATACCAATGCTCTCTACCCAGGGCAACGGCTTTAGACTCTGTCTCAAAAAAAAAAAAAGATTCTTCCAATTTATATTATTCTACAACTATTATTAATTTATGATGTGGACATTTACACATATATAGTATATATATGTATGCATATCTTAAAAATTAAAGTGTGGTATTTCATTGTAAGTATACAACTTACTTTATTGAACTATTTCAGTAAGTACATCCTCTCACCAAATATTTGCTAATATGCACATAATACCTTGAAAATACTCTTGCACTTATTTCTTGCACACTAGGGGGAGCATTTCTATAACTTTCTAACTGCTGTGACCTCATGTTTTCGTCTCCCCACATTTGTATGTTGGAGCTCTAATCCCCAATGTGATGGTATTTGGAGGTGAGGCTTTTGGGAAAGCAGTTTGGATGAAGTCATGGGGATGGAGCCTCCATGATGGGATTGGTGCTCTTAGAAAGGGTTGAAAAGAGGTCCTCTGTCTCTTGCCATGTGAGCACACACCAAGAAAAATGAGCATCTGACTCGGTACCTGTAGCTCATGCAGCTAGGGCAACAGCTACATACACTGAGGCTGGTGGGTTTGAATCCAGCCCAGACCGGCCAAACGACAATGACAACTACAACCAAAAAATAGCTGGGCATTGTGACGGGTGCCTGTAGTCCCAGCTACTTGGGAGGCTGAGGCAAGAGAATCGCTTAAGCCCAAGAGTTTGAGGTTGCTGTGAGCTGTGGTGCCACAGCTCTCTACCCAGGGCAACAGCTTCAGACTCTGTCTCAAAAAAAAAGAAAGAAAGAAAGAAAGAAAGAAAGAAAAAGAAGGTTGGGCATCTACAAACTGAGAAGAGGGCCCAAGCCAAGCACCTGATCTGCTGATCTGCTGATGCTTTGGATTTGAACTTCCCAGTCTCCAGAAATGTGAGAAGGGAACTTTTGTTGTTTATAAGCACAGTCTGTGGTATTCTGTTTTAGCAGCCCAAACTGGCTAAGATACTAATTTAAGTGAAACTGCTAAATCAAAGATTATGAATATTTTAAATATTTAACATTAATGGTCACTAAGTCACTTCCCCCCAAAGGTCATAAGTTTATACCTACATCAACAAGTGAGGTTAAAAAAATTGTTTTCATGGTCAACCTCTGGTAGAAGAAATATTACGGTTCTTTTAAAATTAATTTAGAGGCTTGGTGCCTGTGGCTCAAGTGGCTAAAGCGCCAGCCACATACACCTAAGGTGGTAGGTTTGAAACCAGCCCAGGCCCGCCAAACAACAATGATGGCTGCAGCCAAAAAAATAGCCAGGCGTTGTAGTGGGCACCTGTGGTCCCACCTACTTGGGAGGCGGAGGCAGGAGACTCGCTTGAGCCCAGGAGTTGGAGGTTGCTGTGAGCTGTGATGCCACAGCACTCTACCTAGGGGGACAGCTTGAGGCTCTGTCTCAAAAAAATAAATAAAAAAAAAATAAAATTAATTTATAGTTGGGTGGTGCCTGTGGCTCAGGGGGAGGGCACTGGCCCCCAGATACTAAGGGTGGCAGGTTCAAACCTGGCCCTGATCAAACTGCAACAAAAGATAGCCAGGTGTTGGCATTATGGTGGGTGCCTGTGGTCCCAGCTACTCGGGAGGCTGAGGCAGGAGAATCACCTGAGCCCAGGAGTTGGAGGTTGCTATGAGCTGTGTGACGCCACAGCACTCTACCAAGGACGATAAAGTGAGACTCTGTCTCTACAAAAAAAAAAAAAAATTAATTTATGGTTGAATATATGATGGACATTATAACTCTGCTATGTATGTTGATACTGTTTCCATTTTTCCTCTTTGCTACAAGCCCTTGTTTTTCAGAGAGGAAGTCTTGCTCTGTTGCCTAGGCTGGAGTGCAGGGGCATCATCACAGCCCACTACAATCTCAAACTCCTCACGCGATCTTCCTGCCTCAACCTCTCAAGTAGCACGTGCTACCTTACCTGGCTTACAAGCTATTTGGACATTGTCTTTCCATTCCCTCCCTTCATTCCCACAATACAGCCTCCAACACAAGCCACTGACAATAGCAGAAAGCAGCTTCTCTGAGTGCCTCACGTTCACCTCCCCTCTTTTGTCCCTGGACATGGAATTCTCCTTAGATGAACAAGCTCCTCTCCCCATGAGCTGATTCCCTACATGTAGCTCTAGATCTGTGGAGGAGGCCTGGCTGGGTCAAGTCAAAAAGTCCTTCCATGGGTGGCACCCGTAGCTCAGTGGGTAGGGTGCTGGCCACATACACTGAGGCTGACAGATTCGAAAACTGCTCGGGCCAGCTAAAACAACAATGCAAAGTGCAACAACAAAAAACATAGCCAGGCATTGTGGTGGCTGCCTGTAGTAGCAGCTAATTGGGAGGCTGAGGCAAAATGATTGCTTACGCCCAGGAGTTTGAGGTTGCTGTGAGCTGTGATGAGACAGCACTATACCCAAGGTGACAAAGTGAGACTTTGTCTCAAAAAAAAAAAAAAAAAGCCTTCCTGAGGACCCAGACACTGGACGCACAAACCAAAGGTCTCCCTATCTCTTCTCCACTCACTCCCACCATGGCCCTGGACCTCAGCAGTGGTTATGCTGGGTGGGAGGCTGATAAATGTTCAGAGACACTGGATTCCTGGGTATGACTGCGGGGGGGGGGGGGACCAAGAGCACAAGAAAAATGCTAAAAGGTAAATTCCCTTTTTCTTTTCTTTTTTTATTCAATCTCTGTAGAGACTGTCAAACTGCCAGTGCTGACTATATTGCAAGTCATCATAGAGGGGTGTTGGGAAAAGTTTTCAATTAGCAATAATTGTGCCTTGGATAAGCCTCACTCGCTACAATACTGCCACTGCACAAAGCTAGATTCCCTTTTTCTTTACTCTTACTAAGGTTGAGTCCAGCAGCCAGCTTCATCTATTTAGGCAGATAAGAAATGTACAAATAATGGAAATGTTCACACACTACTCCTATTAAATTCCATTATTATTGTTTTTGTTATTATTTTGAGACAGAGTCTCACTTTGTCACCCTTGGTAGAGTGCCATAGCGTCACAGCTCATAGCAACTTCAATTTTTTGGGCTTAAGTGATCCTCTTGCCTCAGCCTCGCATGTAGCTGGGACTACAGGTACCTGCCACAACTCCCAGGTATTTTTAAAGATGAGGTCTTGCTCTGGCGTGGGTTGGTCTCAAACTCATGAGCTCAGGCAATCCACCTGCCTCAGCCTCCCAGAGTGCTGGGATTACAGACATGAGCCACCTCGCTCAGCCCTAAACTCCCTCATTAGATTAGTTAGGTTAGCACAGAATAAAAATTCTGTTTCCTAAAAAGTATTACCATTATGACAGAGCATGTGCTCTGTGACCTTTGCTTTTGTTTTCTTCTTTTAATTCTTTAAACAACAATTAAAATGAGGTAGGTTATTACAACTCCACCTTGGAGGTGAAAAACCTGAGACTTTATAGCGATGCTTTCACTGGAAACATTTCTTACTCATAAATAGGTAAAATAAAAAAAAAGTGGCACAGTTTGTTTCCACTTCTCAGGGAAAACCCACAAAACACTGGAGCTACTAGATATGAATGTTATGAGTTTATCTCATTTTCCACATGGTTGTTTCTCACTGACTGGTGAACATTTCACTCAGCAATCTCGATCCTGTCCTACCATCTGTCTTTCCTGGTGGACCTCTAGCCTCTGAGTGTGACAACAGCTGCTGCACAACCAGACAAAGGACCACCAGGCTTGGGACATGGTTTCTCATTTGTTTGCATAAGCAGAAATATAACAGCTGAAGGGAGACGAAATCTTTTACATAATTTACTGATGAGATAGATTTTCCTGGATGAGTCACATTTTAATGAGTACTTCGATGATGCACTTCTTCCCTTTGGATATATGCTATGTGTGCCTGTTATCTTTCAGCTCTGTCCTTAAAATCAAAGATCAACATGAATACTCAACTTAGGATCAGACCATGTCTGTATCACAAATTGTTAAAGCATCATTTTCAAAAGTAATTAAGCATGCTCAGTCACATCACTTTTACTTGAAGATATTATAATTAATAATCTTGTGAGAGCAAGATATTCTTTGCACATCAAATAAAAACTGTTATTTTGGCCTTGAGCTGTGGCTCATGCCTGTAATCCTAGTACTTGGGAGGATTTTTTTTTTTTTTTTTGAGACAGAGCCTTAAGCTGTCGCCGTGGGTAGAGTACTATGACGTTACAGCTCACAGCAACCTCCAACTTCTGGGCTTAAGCAGTTCTCTTGCCTCAGACTCCCAAATAGCTGGGACTATAGGCACCAGCCACAACGCCCAGCTATTTTTTGGTTGTAGTTGTCATTGTTGTTTGGCAGGCTTGGGCTGGATTCAAACCCGCCAGCTCTGGTATATGTGGTATACTGTTTCCATTTTTCCTCTTTGCTACAAGCCCTTGTTTTTCAGAGAGAAAGTCTTGCTCTGTTGCCTAGGCTGGAGTGCAGGGGCATCATCACAGCCATAGCCATAGCCACTTGAGCTACAGGCACTGAGCCAAGGTGGGAGGATTTGTTTAAGGCCAGGAGTTTTAGATCAACTTGATCAATAGTTGAGATCCATTTTTACAAAAAAATTTAAAATTAGCCAGGTGTGGTGGTATGCACCTGTAGACCCAGCTACTTGGGAGACTGGAGGTAGGCTTCTCATTTGAGCTCAGGAGTTGGAGTTTGCCATGAGCTGATGATTCCACTGTACTCTAGCCCAGACAACTGAGTGAGACTTTATCTCAAACACATGAACAGAAAAACCTGTTATTTAAATTATTTTATATTTATTTTGAGTCCCACTCTGTCACCCTGGGTAGAGTGCCATGCTGTCATAGCTCACAGCAACCTCAAACTTTTGGGCTCAAGCAATCTTCCTGCCTCACCCTCCTGAGTAGCTGGGACTATAGGCATGCAACACTACACGTGACTAGTTTTTCTATTTTTAGTAGAGACAAGGTCTTGTTCTTGCTCAGGCTGGTCTCGAACTTCTGAGCTCAAGCAATTGACTGCCCTTGGCCTCTCAGAGTGCTAGGATTACAGGCATGAGCCACAACTCCTGGCCAAAATTTCTTTTTTAAAAATACAATGTGTATCGGGTGAGGTGGCTCATGCCTGTAATCCTAGCACTCTGGGAGGCTGAGGCAGGTGGATTGCTTGAGCTCATGCATTTGAGACCAGCCTGAGCAAAAGTGAAACCCCCATCTCTACTAAAAATAGAAAAACTGAAGCAAGATAATTGTTTGAGCCTAAGTTGGAGGTTGCTATGGGCTATGATGCCACGGCACTCTACCCAGGGTGACAGCTTGAGACTCCATCTCAAAAAATTATATATATATATGTATGTGTGTGTGTATACATACACACACATACATATTGCATAATGTATTGTACAGTAGAACATCTAAATATATATAAATAGGAAAACATGCAATTTAAGGCTTGGTGCCCATAGCTCAGTGAGTAGGGCGCCAGCCATATACACTGAGGCTGGTGTGTTCGAGCCTGGCCTGAGTCTGCTAAACAACAATGACAACTGCAACCAAAAGATAGCTAGGCATTGTGTTGTGCGCCTGTAGTCCCAGCTACTTGGAAGGCTGAGGCAAGAGAATTCACTTAAGCCCAAGAGTTTGAGGTTGCTGTGAGGTGTGATGCTACAGCACTCTACTGTAGGTGACATAGCGAGACTCTGTCTCAAAAAAGAAAAGAAAAGAAAAGAAAACATGCGATTTAAAAAGCAGGGAAGATGCTTTAAAGCCTTGGGAATGATAAATCCCAGACACCTAGTTTCTGACTGTGACTTTGCCCTTCTAAATATTCAACAAGCATCTCTTTCCTAAGTGGCTTTCAAGATCAGAAATGTAGGTGGAGCCTGTGGCTCAGTGAGTAGGGCACTGGCCCCATATACTGAGGGTGGCGGGCTCGGGCCCAAACCCAGCCCCGGCCAAAGTGAAACAAAAAATAGCCGGGCGTTGTGGCGGGCACCTGTAGTCCCTGGTACTCGGGAGGCTGAGGCAAGAGAATTGCCTAAACCCAGGAGTTGGAGGTTGCTGTGAGCTGTGATGCTATAGCACTCTATCAGGGGCAATAAAGTGAGACTCTGTCTCTAAAAAAATAAAAAAAAAAAAATAAAGATCTGAAATGTCTATTTTTAGCATATAGGGTAGTAGAACTCAGAGGTGATCTGCTAGCGTCCTTCTTGTCCATACCATAGCCCTTCTTTGCCAGAGGGCTCTGTGATGAGTAAAGGCCTGTGACTGCCCCCCTGAGATTTTGGAAAGTCATCCCTGAATTGTAAGATGCCCTGAGGTTCCAGGTTAGAGCCTTTCTCTGCCTTGAGAATTTCTTCTTCAATTTTTCTCCCTTCACTGTGTGGGCAAACAGGACTCTGAAAACACAATGGGGCAGTCTGACTCAATTTTGCTCTTTATACAACTGTAGGAGGGTCCTTTTAAGAACAGAAACTGCAGAGGCTGAGAAGGAAAAAGGGAAGGAAGGAAACCAGAGGTCATATGCAGCCAACAGAAAGCATTCCATAAACGCTGTCCGGAAAAGTGCAGTTGCAGTTTGTCTCCAGAGAAATGAAGAGTTCCAGCAACCCACGTCAGGTCAGCCTGCGGCCCACAAGGACCCATTCCTTTGTTGGATTTATGACACTGGACAAATCTCTCAGCCTCAGAGCTTTGGTTTCTTTTTCATCCAAAAGCAATAGTTTTTTTTTTTTTTTTTGATACAGAGTCTCACTATGTCACCCTCAGTAGAGTGCCATGGCATGACAGCTCGCAGCAACCTCCAGCTCTTGGGCTTAAGTAATTGTCTTGTCTCAGCCTCCCAAGTACGTGGGACTATAGGCACCCACCATAATGCCTGGTTATTTTTTTGTTGCAGTTTGGCTGGGGCGGGTTTGAATCTGCCACCCTCGGTATATGGGGCCAATGCCCTACTCACTGAGCCACAGGCACTGCCCCCAAATGCAGTAATGTTAAATGTATACATAAAAGAGCATGGAGTAGGCTCGGCACCTGTGGCTGAAGCGGCTAAGGTGCCAGCCACATACACCTAAGGTGGCGGGTTCGAATCCAGCCCAGGCCCGCCAAACAACAATGATGGCTGCAGCCAAAAAATGGCCGGGGGTTGTGGCGGGCACCTGTGGTCCCAGCTACTTGGGAGGCTGAGGCAGGAGACTTGCTTGAGCCCAGGAGTTGGAGGTTGCTGTGAGCTGTGATGCCACAGCACTCTACCCAGGGGGATAGCTTGAGGCGCTGTCTCAAAAAAAAAAAAAGCATGGAGTAGTTAAAAGGATAATCTGCAATCTGGAAAACTATAGCATGTATGTTAAGTGGAAAAAAGTATTAAATATATTCTGAAGATGGAAATGGAGGTCATGTCAAAGAAACATTCCACATGTAGGGGAAAAGACTGGCAACAAACACAAAAATAGGGCTCTGTTTCCTTTTTTCCTAGAGGAAAAAAGAACTTACACCACAGCAGATGCTAATTCCCATGGGTATGAGAAAAGATGCCTGCCAATCTGCTTCCTAAAACTGAGGTAGGGAATGTTATTGATCTGGGCACTAACGGGCACTGATTGCCCCTGCCAGTGAATCAAGCCCAGCAGATTCTCTGTGGGGACTCTAGCACCCCAGCTGTTTTTTGTTTTTGTTTACTGAGATACAGTCTCAGTCTGTCTCCCAGGGTAGAGTGCTGTGGCATCATCATAGCTCACAGCAACCTCAGTCTCTTGGGTTCAAGTGACCCTCTTTCCTTAGCCTCCCTAGTAGCTGGGACTACAGGCACCTGGCCATGCCAGCTGATTTTTCTTTTCTTCTTTTTCCTTGAGATAGAGTTTCACTCTGTCACCTTTGGTAGAGTGCTGTGGTGTCAGAGCTCACAGCAACCTCAAATTCCTGGGGTCAGGTGATTTTCTTGCCTCAGCCTCCCAAGTAGCTGGTATCACAAGCACCTGCTACAACACTTGTTTTTGTTTGTTTGTTTTTTGAGGCAAAGTCTCACTATGTGGCCCTCAGTAGAGTGCTGAGGCATCACGGATCACAGTAACCTCAAAGTCTTGGGCTTAAGTGATTCTCTTGCCTTATCCTTCCAAGTAACTGGGACTATAGGCACCTGCCACGGCCTCCTAGAGTGCTGGGATTACAGAAGTGAGCCACTATGCCTGGCTATTATTTATTTTTAAGAGAAGGAGTCTTGCTCTGTTGTCCAGGCTGGAGTGCAGTGATATCATCACAGCTCACTGTGACCTCAAACTCTTGGGCTCAAGCAATCCTCCCACCTAAGCCTCCCAAGTAGCTGGTACTACAAGTGTGTGCCACCTAAACCCTGGTTAATTAAACAATTTTTTCTTTTTTTTGGTAGAGATAGAGTCTCTCTGTTGCCCAGGCTGTTCTTAAACTATTGGGATCAGCAATTCCCTTGCCTCAGCTTCCGAAAGTATTTGGGATGACAGGTGTGAGTCATCATGTCTGGCCCTAGTGTCAGGTTTTAAATTCATTCATTCATTCATTTAGAAACAGAGTCTCATTCTGTGGCCCAGGCTAGTGTGCTGTGATGTCAGCCACCTCAAACTCCTGAGTTCAAGTGATCCTGCTGCCTCAGCCTCCTAAGCTGGAGGGTACAGGTACCCACCCAACACCCCAGTTTTTCAGTTTTTTGTTTTGTTTTGTTTTGTTTTTGAGACAGAGTCCTAAGCTCTCACCCTAGGTGCCATGGCATCCTCATAGCCCATAGCAACCTCAAACTCTTGGGCTTAAATCTTGCCTCAGCGTCCGGAGTAGCTGGGACTACAGGCATCCTCCACAACTCCCGGCTATTTTTTTTAAAAATGATGGTCACGTCATTCATGGTGCCCGGGTCTCAGGCACGCTGGGTGGTCCAGGAAGTGCCCACAAACTTCTCTCAGGCCACCCTGGGCCCTGTCGCTTGGCCACAGCCTCGGGCCGGCGTTTCCCGGCGCAAGCGCAGGCCGAGCAGGGCCGTGGCCTCTGGTGCCTGCCGCTCCGCATCCCCGCGGGCCAGAGCTGGGCGGGACCGGCTGGTGGCCGTAGCGGGCGGGAGCTGCTAGGGGCCGGGCCTCGGTGCAGCCGCCGCCGCCCGGTGCCCAGTGCTGTGTTCGGTTCTCCGCCGCCTGCTCCCGACTTCTCAACACTGGACTATTTTTTGTTGCAGTTGTCATTGTTTAGCTGGCCCGGACTGGGTATTGGGTTCGAACCTGCCAGCCTTGGTGTATGCGGCTGGCGCTGTAACCACTGTGCTACGGACGGGGCGCTGAGCCCAGTTTTTCAGTTTTAAAGGATTGTTTTGCTTGATGTAAAATTCTTGGTTGACAGCCCCCCCCTTTTTTTTAACCCCTGCAGTTTCAACACCTTCTGGCCTCCTTTTCTTCATTTGTTGAAGTTAGCTGTTAAGCTGTGTGTGTTTGTATGTGTAAGTGATGAGTTCTTTTTCCCTTATTGCTTTCAAGATTTTCTTTTTGTCTTTGGCTTGCAAACAGTTTAACTTTAATATATCTAGGTGTGGATCCCTTTATATTTATCCTACTTGGAGTTTGTTGAGTTTCTTGGGTACATAGATTAATGTTTATTTTTTCCATCAAATATGGATAGTTTTCTGGCTTTGTTTCTTCAAATCTATTGTTTCTGTTGCTTCCTATTTCTCCCGTTTTTTTTTTTTTCTGGACTCTGATTATGCGGGTGTTGGTACACTTGATTATGTCTTACAGGTTTCTGATGCTACTGCATTTTTCTTCATTTAATTTATTTTTATTCTTCAGACTGTGCAAGCTCTATTGATGTATTTTCAACTTCTTTCTTTGGCCTGCTTCAATCTGTTGTTAAGCCCCTGGTGAATTAATTAATTAATTAATTGATTTTTTGAGACAGAGCCTCAAGCTGTTGCCCTGGGTAGACTGCCGTGGCATCACAGCTCACAGCAACCTCCAACTCCTGGGCTTAAGCAATTCTCTTGCCTCAGCCTCCCAAGTAGCTGGGATTACAGGTGCCCACCACAATGCCTGGCTATTCTGGTTATAGTTGTGATTGTTGTTTGGCAGGCTGGGGCTGCACTTGAACCTGCCAGCTCAGGTGTATGTGGCTGGCGCCTTAGCTGCTTGAGCTACAGGCGCTGAGCCAATTTATTTATTTTGAGACAGAGTCTTACTATGTTGCCCTTGGTAGAGAGCCATGGTATCACAGCTCACAGCAACCTCAAACCCTGAGCTCAAATGATCCTGAGTAGCCTCCCGAGTTGCTAGAACTATAGGCACGTGCCACAGTGCTTGGCTAGTTTTTAGAGATGGGGATCTCACTCTTGCTCAGGTTGGTCTTGAACTCCTGACCCCAAGCAATTTGCCAATCTTGGCTTCCCAGAGTGCTAGGATTACAGGTGTGAGCCCCTGAGCCCAGCACTTCCCCCCAATCCGGTGAGTTTTTAAATTTAAATATTCTTTTGTGTCCCAACTTCAGAATATCCACTGTTTTTTCTTTTAATAATTTCTGTGTCTTTATTGATAATCTCAATTTATTAAGTCATAGTCATCTACTTTCTTTTTATTTATTTATTTATTTTTGAGACAGAGTCTCACTATGTCACCTTCGGTAGAGTGCCATGGCATAATAGCTCACAACAACCTCCAACTCTTGGGCTTAAGCACTTCTCTTGCCTCAGCCTCCCAAGTAGCTGGGACTACAGGCACCCACCACAACACCCAGCTATTTTCTTTTGCAGTTGTCATTGTTGTCTAGTATGCCTGGGCAAGGCTTGAACTTGCCAGCTTCGGTGTACATGGCTGGCGCCATAACCACTGTACTACGGGTGCCAAGCCATGCTCATTTCTTTCAAATTTTTATACACAATTTCCCTTAGTTCTTTGGGCACATTTATAATAGCTGCTTTGTAGTGTTTCTCTGCTAAATCTTACCCCTCAGTGTCCAGTCCGAGAGCCCCTGACCACAGAGATGGTGTCTATTGACTGTTTCCTCCTGTGAATAGGTCACATTTTCCTGTTTCTTTGCCTGTTATCATAATCAGCTCCCCTAAAAAGGTTTTTGCTCCAGACCCAGGAGCGGCATTGGGGGAGGGTGGGGACTCAAGTTGATGTTTAGTTTCTAACTTTTTTCTTCAGATAACTACTGCAAAGTATTAAATGGAGATTTCTGCTCTCCTTGTCCATTTTCCCATTCCTCTTTCAGGCTATTGAACTTTCCTCCTAGAAGGATGTTCTACTCAGCACACAGTTGTACAAATGTTATTAGAGTATAAGAGCAGTGAAACTGTGTTCAATGAGATAGACAAATTTTATCTGTCAGGGCTCCAGAAGCAGTTACCCTCGGCTCAGTAGACCTCCAGTTCTACTCAGGAATCATCTCATCAGATATTTTCTCCCAGCCCTTGCCCTTGGGAGAAGTGTGCAACTTTCAAGGGTTTTGGCTTTCATTTTCTTCTTTTGAAAAAAAACTCACTATTGAAAATTAAGGTATATACACAAGTACAGAAAACAGCATAATAAACTACCATATATGTATCACCCCTGCTTAGCCTTCAATAATCATCAACTAATGCTAATCTTTCATCATTTATACCTCCACCTAGTTCTCCACTCCCATTACACATTGGATATTTTGAAGAAAATTCCAGGCATATTTCATAAGTAATTTTTTAAACTTCTTTTCCTCCAATACTTCCCACTTCACAGAAATCAGAAAATATTTTTAATGTATCTCTAAAAGATAACTTCATAAACTTCATAATTACAATAATCATTTCTAGAAATGTTAAAAATAATTCTTTAATAAATTTTTTTTTGTTTGTTTTTTGAGACAGAGTCTCACTATGTTGCCCTGGGTAGAGTGCTGTGATATCACAGCTCATAGCAACCTCAAACTCTTGGGCTCAATTGATTCTCTTGCCTCAGCCTCCTGAGTAGCTGGGACTACGGGCACCCACCACAATGCCTGGCTATATTTTGGTTGTAGTTGTCATTGTTTGGCAGGCCCAGGCTGTGTTCGAACCCGCCAGCTCTGGTGTATCTGGCTGGCGCCCTAGCCACTGAGCTACAGGCGCCAACCCTCTTAAGTATCTTTTAATCCACGGGCTCTCTCTTTTTCTTTTCTGTTCAGCTTTCCTTTTTGCCACAATTCACCCACATCTTCCTGTTTCCTCCTCTTTGTGGTACTAAAAACATTTCTTAGTTGAAATAAAGACATTTTCTTGGCTTTGGTCTCCTTTCTCTGTCTGGGTCATTTAGTGCCTTTATCGACTCTATGCATGGTGAGTGTCTACAAGTCATGGGCACATTGGGGGTTTGCAGCCCACTGTCATCACCCTATTTACTCAGTTGGGTGTTCTATTGTCTTTGTCATGTAAGGAGAAGCACTGTCTGAAAATGAGCTGGGTGTTATTCTGGGCTGCCTGAACGAATAATGAACTTATTAGAAACTGGGGCTCCCTCTTCTTCCAGGGAATGGGGTTCTAAAAGTTAGACGTCAGTGGTGCTTTTTCACAACTGGCAGCGGGGGGCTGCGACTTGTCTTGGGTCACTAGGTCTGTAGTTAGTGGGTAGATAGCATTCCCAAACATCTCCGTGTATTAGTTATCTGTTACTCATAAAAGTTAACCCCAAACAGGGTGGCGCCTGGTGTTCAGTGGGTAGGGCACCAGCCACTTACACAC